ACAAGATCTACCTGCTGAAAACCTGAGCCTCCAAATAGGCTGTTCCACTTTAAAGAGCATTGAAATGCTTACAGTGATAGGAGAAGACTTAATTTATCCAGAAGCTTCACTCACATCAGTGGAGCTTCCTTCATCTGGGGACAACAGGCAGGAAACCACTCACAATCTCTTAAAGAAAGTAATGCTCCTAAGTAACAATACATAGATTGTTGTAATATAGTGTAAAACATCTATATACTAAGAGAGAACAGAAAACATTTGTTTTAAAAATGTTTAAAGGTGTTTTTTTTGGCTCTATTGCAAAATCAATAGCTGGTGACTTATTTTCAATTGTAAACAACAACAAAAAAAAAGAGCAAGAACAGAAATGTCTCTGCCAAATATACAAAATGTTCATTTACCTTGTTTTCCTTTTTATCTAGGTATACTTTTTTATCACTGATGTTCCAAAAAGATTTAAGTACCAATTAGTGTAATTTTTGCCTCATATCCCATGAACAAGATAGGAATTTCCCTCATTAACTACCAAAGCACTAAATAATGGAAAGGAAGAGTACATTCTGTACTTCAGCTAACTGAAAATTCTTTTAAACCACACAGACCTGCACTGCCTATAATGGCATTTGTAAGTCTACAGTGCACACCAGTGGACTATAGTAGGACATGCACTTTTCCACTTTTTTCAGGATAGTTTTGTAAATATCCCATCTTATTTAACTCTTAAATGATCAGAAAAGCACATCATTCAGGATTTATAAGGATGGATCTAAAATTTTGAGGAAGATTTGCAATGAGTATAAACAAGAATGTTTAATTGTACATAAGATAAAATGATCATTCTAAAACCTAAAACTTCAACAGGCTTGCTCGTTCCAATTCTCTGTTTGCAAACATCACAGCAACACACCAAGGATTTGCTTTGTTTTCCAGAGGCCAAAGACCTAACTAATCAAACTCAGACATAATTTTTGTGTTTTTCAGACTGATGGTTAATTGAGCTGTAAACTAAACTGTATCTGAAAAAATTGCATACTCCATTCCTGGGGACATTCAACAAGCAAAATTAGGGATGTAAAAATTTTAATGCTCTTTAGAGAACTTAAAGATTCCTCCTCTTTGCAACAAAGTTTACTTTAAACCCAAGTATAACTAATGTCAATATTCTTTATTTACTCAACAGCCTTTCAAACAAATTTTGCCTTTCTGTAGATACTCACGCAAATACAACAATTAGTGCAATTTTATACTGAGTAATTTCTTTCCTGTTTTTAAAATAACAAAGTGTTTTACATCTTTTAATGGACAGACATGTAATTCTTAGAACAAAAAAAAAAGAAATTATCAGTTACGACACCAAATGCAACTTTCTGTTGTACCTGTTAAAATGGTCTAATTTACGACCTCAAACAAGTCAAGATCAATGTCGCACAAAGCTACCTATAATGCTCATGGTTACTATGATCACAGATTGTCACTTTCCTACTTTTTTTAATTAACTCAATATATTGAAAACTCATTTGCAACTTCCAAATTGATGCTGAATGGATAATATGTTAACACGACGATCATCAAGATCACCAAAGCTTTCCATATTTTGTTTGTCCCAAGATGAGTAAATACTTGTCTTCTAATGAAAGTAACTAAAGAAAGTGATTAGTTACTGGGAGCACTAATAATCAAGTCTTGACAGCTGTGAAGTTTCTAACATTCCCCAAAATCTCTCCAATTTCCAAAAGGCTAGAAGAGCTATCCACTCCTAAAAATGGTTTAATTTGCAGTGGCACTGTCACTTGCAAACCAAGCACTTTTTTTTCACATTCACAGTGGGACTGTTAGGCAATCTACCAAAGGAAATAGCAGACTAATTTAGTCAAGGACATGAAAATAATCCAGATGTAATGATTGATCTGCTTTTAATCTAGAAATTCCTTTGTGATTTAATATTGGAAATTTATATTGGAATCAGATTCCAGGCTTAGCCTAGTAGATGTCTGCACTTTACTTTATTCCACTTTCAAATTTTTCACTGTCAAAATTCTTGTCTGTTGTTCCAGCATCCATTTCTCAACAGTAATATATAGTGAGCAATATTCACATCTGTGTTGACAACACACAAGGTTTGGTTTATTTCAGTAGAGTTTCCACTTACAGAAACCCCCCTCCACTAATATAAATAATTTCTTTCAAATTAGTCAGATTCATTCAGATCAGTGTCTTTTTCTGCAATTTAAAAATGAGATTTATGTCATAAATGTCAGAAGCTGAAAAGAATGCTCAAACTATTACCTCCTGCTAGCAATTAAAGCAATTGAGCATGTTCCCAAGAAAAAAGCAGCAACACATATATGTAGACATGCAAATGCATAAATATTTTTCTCTATCTCCAATGAATTCTCAGAAAAATTTTACTTTCTGTTGTTCTATTCCTGATGACAGTGCCATAAAGCATTTAATGAAGATTAAATTGCTTAAGTAAAACTATTAACTAAACCTAGAGTTCCTCTGTTTGGCACAAGTATAAAAAGCTAAAATCCTACTTAATGAGTGAACAGAAAATAAAGAACTAAAATTTAAAGGAACTCAAATATGAAAGATAGATATTAGTTTGTTGCTGCGTTGCATATGCATCACCTATTAACTGGAACTTGAGATTTAATAGACTGCTTGCAATTCTTTCCAGAACATGAAAGAAAACTAATTAAGTTCTCTCCATTATTCAAAATCTGAGATGTTAAATTCATAGGACAGTTTAAATTCACTATCTATGTTTAGCTATATAAACACACATCTTGAGTTTTGTTGGACCAAAGAGGTCCTCTATCCATTGTCCTGAAAGCTAAAACCAGCAAACTGCAATACAAATATTTTCTATTCTTCTAATCATGGACACAGATTGAAATGAACATGTATTTCCTAACACTAATTCAACACAACCAGGCAATGTTCTTAAATTACTCCTTCAAGGCTGATCTTTGTAAAAGTACATTGCTTTCTGGCATCAGACCTCCACCATGAGGGCCCTGCTGAGCTAAATCGGTCTCCTGGCACATCTACCTGTTCTCCTGAGTATTAGGACAAACCTTGGTTGTACTCCAAGGCTGGACAGGTTTGGTTGACTCCTTTGTTTACCTATCAGAGTTGCCTCCCTTGGGAGCCTTCCCAGCAGTTCCCTGACTAAGCCAATATCCTACTCTCCTTATGTTCAGGGTCTGTACTTTGCTGCTCGCCTTTCTTCTTTCAGGGTGACTGACACCGCTATTTCAAAGCTACCACAGAGGAGGAAATTATTCATCATCACATACCCAGCTAGTTTCCTTCATATTAGTCAACAGCAGATCCAGCTATTCATCACCCCTTTTGGGCCTTCAGCAAGAATTTATTCCTGAAACCCCACTGAAATCTCTGTGGTTGCACCAGCTATTGTAACTTTCTGGCAGCTGTAGTCACCCACGAGAACTGGGATTTACAACTCCAAGATCTGTGCTCTTTAAACACTTTTTTTTGTTTCCTCATTACGTGGTCTGTAACAAACTCCTACCACAATGACACCCTCACTGGCCTGTTCTCTGATCCTAAATTCACAAGTCTGATTATCTCCCATCCTTCTGGAGACCTCAAAAGAAGTGAGCTGCTTTTAGATCTGAGGGCAACTTCCATTTCCTCAGCCCTTCCTTGCCAGTGTTTCTAGAAGTCCTTCACAGTACTCCACTTGCATGGACTTGGCACAGTATTTGAATTGTTCCAAAAATATCGTAGTTCTGTAACAACATACAGCTCTAATTCTCCCTGCTTGTTTCCTAGGATGTGTGCATTTTTTACCAACATTTGAGGCGGGTGTCCCTTCACATTGTTTTACCATTCCTGAAGTCTTTCATGTTCCTATCAACCTATGCTCTGAGTTTTCCAGCTGACCACCTCTTCTTCATTTCACTGTGGTCTGCAATCTCTCATTGCTTCCTTTCCTAGTTCAGGTCCCCATGACCTAAACCCAGAGCTCTGTGATATTTCTCAATATGCCCCCAGCTGGTGCCCATCAGGATGGGTAGCAGCATAGCAGTCTAAGGACTGGACAGACCTCGGCAATCTCTCTGCAATTTCCTGGATCCTAGCCCACAGCAAGCCACATAACCCTCAAAAAAGCAAGTGGGGAGCAAAGGGGTTTCTATCCTCTCAGGAGCAAGCCTCCTACTACCACCATTTGCTGCTTCTCCTGATGTTAATGCATGGTGTGTGTTAAAGCTGGCTCTGATGCCTCACAGTTATCGCTTTCTTCACTTACTTCACTACCAGGTGTTTGAACCTTTTGAAGTGCAGATCTGGAAAAAGAGCCATCCTGCAGTTGCTGGAGAACATACCTTTCCAGCCCTCCTACTGTGGGACTCAATTCACTGTGAAACTCACAGCCTCTGACTTCCCCTCCCATGTGGTTCAGATGTTTTTATCTCTGGATCCCTGTGAAGATCCTGTTAATCTCCTCTTTGCCTTCTCTGATCCTGCCCAGCCTTACTTCCTTGTCCACGTCGATGGGAACGACACATTTTTTCAGGCAATTTCTACACCTCTAGTGCTGTATTTCTCCAGCCTCTCAGGAAGGGTGGCAGGGCTTTCCTGAGCATCCCCTTACCCCACATGGACCCCTTCTCTCTGAACACAAGCCCCACTGGACCCTGATCACACACTGCTGTACATCAGGACCACCAGCCTCACCACACAAGGGAAGGGGCATGGAACCTGCCTGCTCTGGCTCGTCCTTCCTGGAAGCCTGTGGAGCCATCCCAGTGCCACTCTCACAGCTTCCCAGCACCAGGTGCTGCCATGGCAGCATCCACACACCCTCACTAGGTCCCTCCCACCTGGCTACACAGAATACTTATTGATATATGGTGGATTTGTCACATTCATAAACCATGGAGACAATTTCACTCTTAGCTACAACACAGGAAATCAGAAGTCTAAATTTTCCTTCTTATCCATGTGATAACAATGTATTACTAACATACCTGTTTCAGGCTTTCCAGCTTGGTATGTCTCAGTTCTTCATATTTCCATTTCCAAAGAAATAATTCGTTTTCCATCTTTTCCATTTCTTTCTCCAGAAATACATTCATTCTAAAAAAGTATTTTAAAATTTATCATTGTACAATTTTGAAGCTGACAGAACAAAAGTTACATTGAATTTCCTTCTCATAGCTTGAGTTATGCTGCCTTTGTCAATGTTATATCTTGACTTTTCTAAAAACCTTTATTATGATTGCATAATTAGTCCAAAAGATTCATCAAAATAATAGTTAAAGAGAAAACAGAAATCCAGTCATAGAGAATTGAAACTTTAAATAAAATAAAATTTTGAGATAAACTGAAGAAAATTTAACTTCAGTTGGTGGTTCAGGCCACCTAATTTATCACAAGTTTCTTCACATTAGTGAAGATCCTCAAAGAAAACATATTAAATCACTTGCATTTAGTACAGACAACAGATTAAACACATGTACAGGGGAGAAATACACACTATAGAAACCAGAAACCAAAGATGATTCATGTTTGATGTTGAAAAACATTATTAAAAGATGTATATTTCATGTTTTGAAAAATAATAGCTCCTGGAAGAAAATGCTAGAAGAATTTCAGGAAAATGTATTATTTAGTGTAGAAGTACTATGCCTGTACAATGAGAAAAATATGAAATAGTTGAAAAGAAATACCTAATACTTGGCAATTAAAGAAACTGTTGCATGCCACAGTATTCTATTCTAATGGAGGCTAATAGAATTTTTCAACCTTTTTAACAAAGACGTTATTGCCGGCCTTACTAGAATATATTTTGACAATATTTGGTTTAAATAATCACATGTTCAACCAAAGTGTATTGATGGAATTTGTCTGGAACATTTCTATGCAGCAGACTGCAGGCTTATATAGAGATAAGACTTGCCACTGACTGGGCTGACTCAGGTCCTGGAAGCAATGTCAGCTACTTTAATGAAGCAATCCACTATAGTGAAATATCTTCTCTCTTCTTTTACACCTAAACGGAATGCTCTTGAATCAGGGATATCCTTTTTCTGCCTAGATTTAGTATATAGCACTGCTTATCTTAGCAAAGATCTAGAAATCCCATAACATTACAGTAATAAAATAAACACCATTATTCACAAAGCAAAATGGAGCAATATGTATTTCATGCATTTCAACTCAACTGTTTTGCTTTCAAAGTAATGGGATATTTCATTGGAATGATGATATCATTGGGGAACTAAGGGAATTCTTAGCGAGACATTTAATACAGTAGAAAGTGAAAGTATGAAAGATGACATTCTAATACTTTGAATAATTGTCCATTGACTGCATTGAATGCAGAGAAAGTCCTCAGAAATGGTCTATTCTGAAAAGTAAGAGAAATGTACAATATGTTTCGCTTATTTAGAAGACACTAGTTTTGTTTTGTGTTACAGTACTTCTTAACGGAGGTCAGCTCCCTCTGATACCACTAATTGAAAGAAATTATTCTGATTACATAAAGTTTACTATTTAAATAAAGAAAATGAAGAGTGGAAGAAAGAATATAGCAGACATCAGAAGCAACTTACTTACTAGAATCAAGTTCAGGGCATTTTTCATGGATCTTGTAATGAGACATTTTAACTCATTATCTAATTAAATCACAGAATTACAGAAAATGGTCGAGGTTGAGAGTGCCTCAAGAAGGCCATCTAGTGCAAACCCCCTGCTCAAGCAGGGTTGCCTAGAACTGATTGCTCAGGACCATGTCCAGATGCCTTTTGAATGCCTCCAAGGATGTTGACCCAGCAACCTTCCTGGAAACTGGAAACCATTGCCAGTGTTCAGTGATCCTCACAGGAAAAAAGAGGATTTTTTTGTTGCTTAGTCAGAACCTTTTGTATCCATTGTCTGTGTTACCCATCTAGTCTTAAGAAGTTCCTCTTTGATATTATTAACTAGCAGTCAACTAGTTTGTGAGCTTTTGGTTTTAGAAGAAATAAACACTTTTAAGTTCAAAACAGAACAAATTACTACCTTAAAATTAGAAGACAATTAGATGAGAACACTGATCCAAAAGATGACAAAAGACAGCTATTTTAAGCAAATGATTATGCAAAATGCTGAGCCATTCATAAGGTTTGTAATTTCCATTCATGCTAATGGACCTCAAATGTGTAATTGATGTGAGCCATTAGTACCTAGTAGAGGATGTTGGTGTGTTTCACACTGTAAACCCAAGCCAAGATATTTTTTTTGAATGTCAAAACATTAATTTTCATCCCTTTACTTTTATTATTTCTTTTAGACCTTCTTTCTTTTTGTCCTTAGCAAAGCCTGATCTGTGTGCATAAGGTTATGTCAACATTACTGATGATAGCTCTAAGCAGAATGCAAAAAGCAGAAGTCTTCTCAGGGTGAAAAAGCAAAATATCTTATGCAGAGAGATAGGAAACCAAAAAGGTTACTAGGTAGGTAACTTAGAGGGAAATTCAAACACTGGATTTGCATCAGCTAACTTGACTCTAGAAAAAAACCAGTCAGAGTGCTGCATATAAACCAGGAAACTGCTGAGAAGTCCTCTGCTGTATGAGTAAGATCCCACTGACTGCTAAAGTAATGTCTGGCCTTGGGGTTCAAGCTGCCTATTATCTGTTTGCTTTTGATGCAACACAGCTGTGTGTTCTTGGCTCAAGTTCACTGAGAAAATTGCTAAGTTGTGAGAAAGAAGCTGTGAGAAAATACTTAAGCTAGAGCCACACAAGATAAGGGGAGTAAAAATGCAAACGGGGTGAGATTGTTGAGATAGTCATTACTAGCAACTCCAGAATACAGGATTAAAAATCCTGACATGAGCAAGAATAAAACCTAAGAGAGAAAACTGGAAATCTGAAGTTGGAAATATGGCAAAATCCACCAATTCTACCAAGTGGTGGAGACCAACCCTTTCTGAGATGGCAGGTGACAGCCTGCTCAACAGAGATTCAGCTATCTCAAGAGACTGGTGACTATGATAATACTTATCCTAGTAACATTATTCCTAGCTATTTACTGTCTGCATTGCCAAATATAGTAGCTTCTTAGAAGCTGCATATATTCTGCTTACATAACATCTATCCATGCAGGAAATGTTGCCCTCCTGGAGAGGGAGTTGTTGTACCCATCCCTGCTGCTATGTGGAAATCCCTGCTTGGTGCCTGAGGTTGGCATTGCCACATGTTGCATGTTATAAACATGCCCCAGTTCTTACTGTGTGCCAGTAAATTTATTGTCTTATACCACAGTACAAAATAAATGAATGTGAAATTATTCATAAATGAAAAATTTAAAAAATAAATGCATGAAAAAATGAATAAATGAAAAAAACTGTCTCTGTGAAGTACAGTTAAATATTGGTTAGAGAGGCATGTAAACAAACCGACAAACAAAAACCTATTAAAGTTTTTCCTGAGAAGTGACTAAAAGTGAGTTGAAAATTTTTCTATTTTCTAAATGAAAGTTATTATATATGTATGCATACTTGATTGCTGATGAAGTCCCTAGGCCCCTAAATATTTCCACCCCAGGAAAATGGGTATATGAGGCATCAGTCTCCTAACACACACATATGTTTGCTTTCACAGGCAAATGAAATACCTTTCAAGGAGAGAGAGCACAGCCATCTTCTGCTATATGATTCAACTAGAGAATTATTGTATGCTTTCTACAACTATCTAATTCATATAACAAAGCACATTAAATATGAGTTAGGAATTGAAAGGATTTTTTACCTCAGACTTGTGCTATGTACATGACAGTTATGAAATAAACTGACAGCCAGGAGATGTGAAATAAACTTACAGGAAGGAAATTCTTCAGCACAGTTTGCCATTGAAGACTCTCTGAACTGAAAGTGTTGAATATATTTGCAATGGACAGGAAATTTTCTTCCTTTTAATTTTATAATTAACTTCAACTGATTTTGAAATTACCATTACCTGTAGTTACAGCCTGAAGTCTGCTACTACATCATCATACATCACATGCTCTATGTTTCCTTGAAAAGCCTTTCTGGTGAGATTCAATCTTTCTCAATATTGACCATTTATACAAGATAAAACTTCTTTTAGGCCACTAAAATATACATTTAGTATCTATGTCAGGCAAATTTGATCTGCTACATAAATGTACGATAAATCTGTTACTCCCTCTTTGTTACTGGCTTTTAACAGAGACTTTGCTACAAGCTAAGAGGTTAACAGAATTTTGCAGCTGATTCATATATTTTGAATTCAAAAACAGCCTTTTTCATTCTGCAGTTGGACTCTTTCAAAGTCTGCTGGTAAAGTATATGAAAATCTGTTATTATGCATAAAGCACTCCAATAACTGGGTATAACATACATTAGATATCACTGCATTGATACCAAATTACATATTTGTATGGAAAACCTCTTATTTAAATGACAGACAAGCCAAAGAAAACAATAAACATACTTGGCTGAACTGTTTCTCTAAATTCTTATAAAAGTCTTGCAAATAGCAATGAAGAAAGTTTAGAACATATGAGGTACAAATGCAAACATCACCATATCTATTTTAGAAACTGTCTAAACCCTTTTATGAGAATTTCAAAAGTAGGATATATTTTGCACTTACTCTCTTTCCTTCTGTAGAATTTTCCCCATCTCAGCCAAATGCAAATTTAAGACTGATACATGTATTAAATCATTCTCTGTTGTCTTAGCTGTAGTGCCTAAACTGATTTTAGGTTTCTCCAAACAGATCCTGGGAAGTCCATTGGGGAAGAAATCGGGAGGCTTTGGGGTGATTTTTTTATTGTCATTGCTTTGGTCTTTGTTTACATCCTGAGAAAACAAAAAAATGACACCTGAGAAAAACATAAGTGAAGGAAAAAGTCTAACATAGCTCCAGCAGGGCCTACCAAGGCTCTTCTAGACATTTAAGGAACATAGAAGAAAAAAAGGAAATAGGTAATATCTTAGACAGTTGGACTGTATATGGGTAGAAAGGGGCAAAAATGTCAGTATATTTGAATAACTGTAATTTTGTGATTTCTTACAGATTCTGTTATGACAAGCTTCATATCCAAAATATTTCAAATGTGTCTTTGCTGAGGAAATATATTCAATTTCTCTTTTTTTGGCTATAACTCTGGTGAAGACAGAAGCTTGGAAATAATAAAACCAGCAATGCAATTTATCCATACAAATAATGTATTGAGAAACTTTACATTAGGAACTCAAACTTTTTATGTAAAGAATACTGAAGCAGGCTTATACAAGTGTTTCATAAGGAACAATGTATATAGATATCTATTTTGAAGATACTTGTTTTGCATGCAAAACATAAGAAAAACTAATATCAAAATGGGCAAAAAAATTAAAAGTAAAATATACATTTTTGAGGAAGACTGAATGTCTCTTGTGAACAAGTTTCCCTTAGAAATGTATTTGCTTTACTGTAGCTGAGGAATCTTGTTTAAAAGCTAATCTAATTTTAGCAGTTTACTGACAATCCTCTTTCACATCACTCTGTTCTTTTGAGATTTTAGAATAATACCCAAAATTTACATCAGAAAATACTAGAAACCACTGAAAAAATAAAAATGTTTCCCATTCACATATAAAGTTTCACTTTTTAAGTAGAAAAAGTTTTATACTAAGGAAAAATAGTTAAAGTATATTTTGTGGCATTTCCTTCCAATGGCAAATTTGTCTGAAAATATGAAAGGCATGCTTTTTTGTCAAAATCTATTCTTGCTACTAACATTACCATATTTTTGGGGGTTTTTTTTTTCAGATTTCACAGGAATATAATATCGTTAATATGCATTAGAGAGTAAAATTTCCAAACAGAATACATACAGATCTAAGATCTTGGCAGTTTCTCTTGAACTTAAAACTTTTCTACTTTCAACAATGCAGGGAAAAACATATTCCAGCAATGTGTGAAAAAAATTGCCTATATTTACAAACACTGCCATCTGTTAGAAAACAAGTAAAGACTTTTGGTGGTGTCTATGAAGACTATATAGTGCATTCCAAGGCACAGAATTAAAGGTAGTTAAACATGAACAAATGCTTCGATTTTTGATGAATGTAACTGGATCTTTTGTGTAAAGTTAGGAGCTGCTTAACCAATGCTGATACTTGATTTTTTAAAATTCTATATCATGATTTAATAGCTCTCCTTATCAAAAAAGAAGTCTTGCAAATTTGCAAAAGAACTGCCTACCTTTTCCCATGCTTTTGAAGTTCAGAGAGAATTCAATGATTTTAGACTTTAGGTTCTTTAGAAGCCAAGAACCTAATATGCTTTTTTGGAGGGGAGAAAGAATGTAAGTATACAAAACATGATTAATTCAGACAAGAGAGGTATCCTGCTACTGTAAAACATGAGAGATAATCAAAACAATATGTAAATTATTGGATATAATAGTCTGCCTCTGTTCCTTAAATGTCTAGTCATAGTGCAAGGGTATGAATTGTTTTCTGCATTTTCCCATATTATAAATATTTAGATCTGAGGGTCAGGAGGCCAAAGGGTTTTGCTAGTGAATAGATCAGGCAATATTTTGGTCCAAATTCTTGAAAAATCCCATTTCAATGTACACATCCATACTTTGTCACTACTTCATGAACCACAAAAAACATTTCCCATTCTTTACCTTCTTTGTGTCTTCTGCCCCAGGAATTTTGATGATTTTGGTTAGGTCTTTCGGAGGTTCTGGTTCCAGAAACATTAACAGGCTTTGGTCTTTTTTAATACAGGCTATTTCCGAGCAACAGCCTTCCGTTTTCCAAGCAGCTCCATTTTCCAAGTTTTCCTTCTCATTTACTAAATCCTGATTTATTTTTTTAAGCACACTTAGCTCTTTTATGACACTGTCTAGTCTGATTCTCAATTGTCTTGCTTCCTCTCGTGCTTTATTTCTTTCTCCTCTCACTTTGCTCCACTTCTCTCTCCAATTAGCGGTGCAATCTGACCACCAGCGCATGGTCTTCTCCATTTGGGCAGCTCTGGCTTTGACTTCTTCCAGTTCCTGAATTTTTACTGCTTCAAAAATTTCCCAATCACTGCTGTAACTTTTATGCATATGTGCATAATGAGGTGAATTTGGGTAGAAACTTTGAGATGGAAGACTTGAATGAAACAAATGGTCACCTGGTTGCCAACATCTATCTAATTTATCAGGTTGTGTTGGTTGGGTCCCAAAAACCTCCATCTCTTCCATTTGTTTCTGAGTGGAGTCTAAATTAATGTTTTGATTCATCATCTAATTTCACTCCTAAAAAAGACAAAGACAGACAATAATTTAGCTTTTAATTAATTATATCATATGAATAACCTTCAACAGTTGGGGTTTTTACTGCTATAATAGTGCTTAATGATGCTGCTCATGTTTTAGAAATGTGCTTTATCACCATGAAATAGCAATTAAAATATCTTTTATTTAATACTTTTTGAGTACAGCATAAACAGACATATCTATTATTAGGCTAGGACTTGCTTGCAAAGAAAGAGTCATTAAATAACCATAGTGCTCTCGAAAATGTTTGAGTCTAAAGAAAACAGACAAAAGCTTTCTTCCTTCAAGAAAAGATTGAATTGAAACAATATATATTTTAAATATCTAGCAAGAGGAAGTTATTTGTCTAGAACTACAATCACAAATTACTTGCCTTCTTTCCCAAACTGTGGAATTTCATACTAGGCAAAACTTGCCTTAAAATTTGCATACCTAAGAAAAAAAATATTATCAAAATCCCTGTGACCTTCGGATTTCCTTTTTTCAAGACAAAAATCAAGTATTTTTTTATAGGGGGCTTTATTTTGTTGTCTGCATTCCAGAAGATTTCCAGGTAGCATATTCTTATATTATTCTTGAAAGGGTAGCACTATCCTTATTACTGTACTGTACAGCCTACCTCGCAGTGGTATGACTCAGCTAGTAAATCTTGTTGCATTCTTTTTCATTATTTATCTTTTGATTATTTATTACTTATTTGGCCCAGAAGAAAAGCAGTTTCTCAGAGATTGTTTCCCTACCCCAGTGCTGAGAAAATGCTGATGTGGACAGTCTGTAGAGACTAGCCACTTATATCTCCTTGGGTTTTTTTTTCATCTTGGTTATGTAAACCAGAGCAGCCAAACAAACAAAATTCAGACAAATAAACAAACTTAAGAATCTTACTAGTTCAATAGAAGACTAGGTTGTTAGAAGTAAAAAAGAAATTGCTTTTGTATTGTGATATCCATTTGTAAAAAAAATGTTTATTTGTTTCAGTAATTAGTGCTAACACCTGCATTTGAAATGCAGAAGGCTGATGCTGCTAACAAAACCATGAAGAGTAGATAGCTTTGGCAGTATGGTTCAGTTATGTCTCATTTCAACTGAATAGAAGGTTTTGCATGTTTTGTTCCAATTTTCCAGCTGTTTTCAACTTTTCCATGATTTTCAGGACATTTATTTGCCATTTGTTAGAAGCTTATGGAGAGCTGTTGTACTGGAGTACGGATATGAGAGGAGGAAAGGGACAGTGAAGGACTCCCAGCTCCCTTCATTATCTCTGTCTGGTGTAGCACCATCGAGCCCCACAACAGCATCACACAGATGCAGCAGAGCTGCTGCCAAAGCTTCATCAGGGTTGAGCCTTTCTTACTTCTTGACTTTCTTCCAGCAATATAATTTGAATAAGCCTAATCCAAAATACAAAGTTATTGCCACCCACAAACTTGTATGAGGCCCAGTAGAGCCAAAGTAACTAAATATCTTGCAGTCAGTTGTTAATTTAATTTCTGGGTTGTAGTAATTCCTTGATTTCCTAAAGCCTCAATAAAAAAAAAAAAATCAAACAAAACCACAGTGAAATTTAGATACATAATAATATATAAAAAAACATATTACATAATGTAATAAATACATAATGAAATAGTTGAAACTTTTGGATTTTAAAAAAGTACAATAAATTTTCTTAACATTTTTATGTGCCTGCCCCAAACTAGTATATATCTACAGAAGTACTTATTACACCTTTCATAATCAGTAGTTTTTTCAGTGTGTTTTGCTAACTTCTTTGCATATTCATTAAAAGAGGCGAGAACTTGGGGAATGCAAAATTTACAAATCTTAAAAGATGGAGAAATAAGAATGGTAATATTTTTCTTTGAAAAATTTGAAAATCTGAAAATTTGAAAGACTTGAGAGTTATTTATGAATCAGAATAGCCTGTTGCTGATGTTTCATTACAGGTTTGAGGTGATTTTGTCATGTGACATTCAGTAGTGTTTCCAAAGCTGGAGAAATGTTAAGATCAGAGATCACATGAGGCTAAAAAGGAAACATTGGTCACGAATTCTTGCTTCCCTCCTTTGTGATGGCTCAAGTGTTCTGGAGGCTGGGACACTGCCAGTCAGATCAGACTTAGACTGTAACAACTGAAGTAGGCCTGTACAGAAGGCTGGTGGTCTCTCAGGCTTCTAATCATTTTATGGTAGGCTGAACTCAGCCTGCACTTTTCAGCATGGATAGATGATCCCAACTCTGAAACTAAAATTCAGAAAAATTAAGAATTAAAAGTAGTCACTCCTCCTCCAGAAAACAGAAGTGCTATCTCGCTCCAAGGTGGTAAAGAAAAGGTGTTTCTATTTGTATTGACTTCCCTGTCTCCTTTTCAGAAAATCTAATCAAAACAGGTTCTTTAGGTACTCTCTCTAAGATTGCAAGAGGTAGAATAAAATATCATTTTTTCATTAAAAGAGACAGATCTCAACACAACCCATTTCAGTGGATGGCTGACTCAGGATAAAAGAAAAAACAATAGAAATGTTGCTGAATAAGTGAAATAGGTAACAGGAATTTTATTAAAAGTATGAATTTTGAAGATTTGTGCTTGTATTTGTTTTTAAAGAAGTGGACTAAAATATTAGTTTGAAAGAAAGCAAAGATTTAAAAATTAGAAAAATGTGTTGATTATTGTAAAAGGTCTGAAACTGTCAAAAGTCTCACAGTTCCAGAGGGATGATTAGGATGGACTTATTTTATCTTATTTATAGTTCATATCAATCTACTCTTTCATGTTCTCAAAAATACTGGACTGATGAAATTATGATAAAAACAAGTCCAACAGTCCAACTAAAAACTCTTTTAGTATTGAATCTGTTGATATTGAATCTTTAATCATTCTCTCTCTCTCTCTCTCTCTCTCTCTCTCTCTCTCTCATATATATATATATATATATATATATATATATATATATATAATGTTATTTAAAAAATTATTCTTTTCTCTGGTACACGACCACGTCACAGAAAACATCATATATGTACATTGATCTCTGAAAACTCTCATCTATACAATATTATATATAGATCTATATATAAAATATATATCTATCAAATATAAAAAATATATATAATCTATAAAATATTATATATATATTATATAATATATTATACATTATATATATTATAATATTATATATATTATACATATTATATATGTTCCAGAGGGAACAAGAATAATTTTTAACTTGTCTGTTAAAGATAATTCAAAGAAGAAAGGTCCATGCTAATGTTAGACACAAATTTCTTAACATCAGAAATATCACAAGTCTAAAATTGACAAAACAATACTGTGTGGAGCTAGTTTTAAAGTCACTACTTGAGTTTGCAGCAACAGACTTGCTAGCAAATAATTACTAGATAAAAGATAACTGATGGAAAGATAAAATAAACTTAGAGGATTGGTGAAAATGGGGGTTTTCTGATCAATGAAGCCTTCTGATCATTCCACTTTTAACAGCTGAGTGATAAGAAGGAACACAACATCACTTTAAAGTTGTTTTTCTTAATGGAATTATTTAAAATGAGCATGAACAAAATATATGAAGCAACATTAATCATGTCATGTGAGTGAGGTGTGATGATAGAGTGAGAACAGAGTGATGATAGTTCTCAGAGGAAAAAACAGACATTTGGCGAAGACGGAAAAGAAAATGGGTCTGAAAGATATTTAATTATACTGCAACCTTTCATATTTACTTAATGATCCTGAACACCAGTAAGAAAGAGAAGAGCTCTTGATTTATTTTTGCCACCTATTGTTTTAGGTAAACAGCAGTATATTCACCCTTGGTGGCACCGTTAAACAAAATCACCAGGAGAGAAAAGAATTATTGCACTTTCCTCATGTTAATACCTGCTCACTGAAGTCAGCTTTTTCAGTCAGTTCAGTAGCTAGGGCAGTGCTTGAGGATACAATTTCAACATCCTTTTTCTAACTGCATGACTTAATCTTTATTTACACGTCTCTTAATTATTAAGACCTCAGCCAAACTTTTTTAAGGTATTTTGTCTTTAGAGGAAATGTCTGCTTTAGATTAAACCAGGTAATTTTCTTTTCTCTAATATATAAATTGAATAGGACAAAATGAATCCTAGAACTCAACATGTTCTTTTGTAAGTGCCACTGGAAAGCCAGAACTTTCCATGGTATTGCTGCAGCTCACCTATTTACAGACCCTGACAGAGAGAGAAGGCTTTAAGGAAATGATGGAGGTGATGTGGTCATTATAAGGATATAGGAAGTGATTTAACTCACTCCCTGAAAACTTGGCTGTTTACTAAGGGCTGCTAACTACCAAGCGATGAACTCAAGAAAAGGAGAGCAAATTTTGTGTGTCTGTTCCTGCTGTAAATTTGGTTTTAATTAATAACCCCTAGGGGTCCCACCCAGTGGCTAGATGAAAAAATATTGCCGAGTAAATGACAGAAATGTATGGTGAAAAAAACATCACACTGGTAAGTGTGGTATGAAGACATTCACTCCTCAAGAGAGGAGAAAGAGTGAGCACTGGCATTGACAGCTTGGTAACTAGTTTTTTCATGGAAAAATACAATTTAGAGAACTTGTAAATAGGACAGCTTGTGAATTAGGGAAATAATGAATTAGTGAGCTCATATGTTGGACTACTCTGTACAAAAATGATTCCACCATTGTTTGACGCCTTGATGTTTTGGTGGTGTTGTTGGACACAGAGGACTTTTTTTAAAGGATTATTTTTTTAAATGAGCTCATAAGCTCATAAAATAAAGTTCAATTTACAAAGTACACTGTGCTGTAAATTTGAAAGATCCAAACAGACCATGACATAATATACAGATTGTCTTACTTCATGAAAATAAAAGATAGTGCATTCAGGACTTTTTAATGCACATCCAAAGATGATTCTGTTTATTTTTTTCCCACAGCTATAAAAAATATATATATTAACAATATTAAACCA